AAAAATACCCTGGTACTCATTAATACTAGCCATGCACTTTTTTCCTTTTTCTAATAAAAATATTTTGCAAAGTAATCAATTTTTACAAACTATACATAGCAATGAAGTAGTATAGTAAATTATGGGTATATGACTTTTGAGATTATGCAGTGAAGAGCTAATCAGTTTTTAAATAAGGAACCTGAAGTTGGAAGATCTTTTATAACCAATTTATAAAAGTTAAATCATAGAGGACCACTTAAAGGCCATCTTCTGCAAACACTCAATTGATGCTTGAATCCTGTCATTCTGTGAGTATGAGCTCCCAACATTAAAGTCTGGCGTCCGAAAGAAAATTCACTACCTCTGATCCTCCAATCCAATATTGTTTGTTTAGCACATCTTCTCAGATTACATTGGCAAAAATTTGCCTTCTTTTTTTTATAGCAAGAAACTGAAGTTATATACTGCCATATTGATAAAAAAAAATCTGATATTTGAAATAAAATCAAGCTCCCTATTTATGTGGTATATAGCATGAATGTTTATAATAATAAAATGCCAAATCAGTTGCTGTCCTTTTGAATCCATTCACAGGAAACAATAGAGCTGACCCATATGGTTTCCAAGATTCAAAACATTTACAAATTCAGGTGATCACAGCTTTCTCCCACAGAGAAGCTAGGGAGCTGGGACCCGTGCCCTGCAAGTGCTGTCGAAAACGCAAACCAGTTACCATTGCTCACTGCCAATGCTTAGCAGCCCTGGAGGACAGAGTAGAACTGCTCCGGAGGGTTTGCAAAGCTGTAAATCTGTGAAAGAAGCAGACTGCTTTCTTTTCCATTCCAGAGAGGATGGTGAGTTTCAATCATGGGTCTGTGATGAAACTTTTTAGTTTGTAGCTAGTGCTCAGCTATTGGTACCACTCACAAGCATGTCCTCAAGTAATTAAAGCAGAATCTAGAGGATATTTAAATAACATTTTATCAAAACCATTCCCTTATTGTCAAAGGTGGCAAGTTGATATTAAAGGAAGCAGGACAGTATCTGGAAGAAACTAATGAGAAAATATACTATCGTGATTTAAAGCTGTTCTCTAAGGATTGTTGAAACAAAACGTTTTTTTTTTCCCAATTTAAAACTAAGGAGAATGCTCCTTAGAGGCAAGCTGGTGAGACTTCACCTCACATATTTTGGACAAGTGGTCAGGAAAGACTGGTTCTGGGAGAAGGGCATGATGTTTAGTGAAGTAATGGGGCATCAAAAAGAAGACCATCTATAAATGTATCGACATAGTGGTTGCATTGACAAACTCAAATATAAGAACAACTGTGTGGATGGCATAGGACAGGCCGTGTTTGGGTTTTTGACTCCACAGCACCTAACCACAGCAACAAGGAGCACTCTGCTGTCCTTCCAAGAAATATTCATTGGATCTTTTGACAGCCCATGGCATTTTCAATATTCTGTATCAGCATAATTCAAATGCTTCAATTTTCTTTCCATTATCAATGCTAACTTTCACATGCATATGAGGTGATTGAAAATACCATGGGTGGATCAGGCACACCATAGTCATCAACGTAATCTCCGTGCTTTTCAACAATTCAGAGACCTGTGCAGCACATTTGTCCCCCGCAATGCACCCTCAATCTCTTAGCTGATGCTTCCCTGAGTGTTGACTGTGTGTGGTCCAAGCAAGACAACAACCTTGCCAACCTCCAACTTTTCTACTTATCGTGATTTACCTATTGATCCAGTTGTGGAGATTTTGAGGAAGATCCTCAACAAAGTGGATTGATACGATGGCTGAAATAATGGGCAATTTTGAGGATGACGAAGGACGTACTAGTGTTTAAGCAACCTAACAATACAACAAAGTTTACAGCTAATGCAAGGTGGATTTAATGGTTGAGCTGATACATTCTCTGCAGGACTTTTTCTTTATTGAAGATATTTCTAAGAAATTAAAAAGAAAAGAGCATTACTTAACATGCATTTTGATAAGTACTAAAAATGAATAAAACATTTAGTTTGTCAGTATCAATCAAAACAAAGGAAATGGATCTATATGCATATACCCATAATTCTTTCACTTAATGTTTTCTAAATGATTAAAACATACGTAGCTTTATGGATTTAAAAATAACCTTCCGTTTCTTATCCACATGCTTCATCTTACACATTTCATCTTTTATACTTCCTTCTTTTCTGATTAATGCTTAATAAGGATATTTGCTCAACCAAATACCTGACTTCAATGATTCAAAATTTGAAATACTTCTATTAAATTAATCACACATGCATACAAGTACCCACGAATAAAACATTATCCATGCCTTTGAGAAAGTAAGAGTGCAGTGGAGAGAATTGTCAGAAATAGCACAATGCCCCTTAACGTTAGCTTAAGCACCAATAAAATAGCTTTTCAGTTTTCAGTATGAAGAATTACATTTTACAGGTTTATTATTGAAATATGCTGGTTACGTAAGTCCGGTTAATTTTATAAGTTAAATATGCTCACTAGGAGCACTCGGCATCTTCTGCCATGTTGGGATTAAATGCAAATGCCTTGTAATACACACTAAAATTTATATTTGATATTTTTTTGTATTTTTACTAGTGTCATGGATTAGAGCGAGGTGTTGCCTTTAATGCCTACAATATTTGGACTTTCAATTTAAAAAGATAAATAATGTGTCATCTTTGGGTAATTTTTTAAAGTAAAATATTTATTAGGTGCTGGTCCTATTTTAATATTTTTGTGTGAATTTAACTTTTATATGTTTCCATCCATAGCTTTTGATCATGTTAGATGGATATTCTCCTTTCTACCACCGTGATTTGTATTATAATCATTTTGCTTTACCTCAGAGTTATCGATGTTCCTAACTTTAATTTAAATTGATATATAGGTGGTTTAAAAACATTTCCCCAATTTAAAGCCTGAAACTTAAAATTGATTCAACCTTCATCTGCTGTGACAGCGAGAAGCATGCATGTACTCTTAATGTTAGATAGTGTTTCTGACTTCGCTCACACAACCCAGTTTAGTGCTAATCACCTGTCACTCCTCAAACACACTGACGGCCTCTGAAATACTGAGCATCAGTTTTCCTGATGATGATTCTCCATCGCATTGGCCTCTTGGGTAGAATTTTCTTCTTTCCTTTGTATTTTTCTCCTTTAGGATCTCAATACCTTCACTTCTTTTCCTTCATTCGTTTAGAGCTCTAGGTTTATGTTAAAACTACCATGAATTCTTCAAACTAATCTGTAATAATTAAAAAGTCAAATCTGGTGAAAGATGAGAAATTAGAGGGAGAATTCATAATTCTATTTGGCTGGAAAGACTAGAATTATGCCATAAAATACAAAATGCAAATTTTGTTAAAAATTTTTTTGAGACAGCAGGGAAATTCACAAACAGCAGCAACAAATTTAGAACACTTGAGCATTCAGTAAAATTAACCTTTAAATTACCATGTGGAGGAGGGAAATGACAACCAAAATTGACCTTTCTGAGGAGCACAGCCATTCTCTCACTACAACCAAGTGTTCACAGACACAGGGTCTCAGAAGCTTAGACTGAGGGAGCAGTTAGTCCTAAATGTATGCTAAGACACTGGTTTTTAAAACCCTACCTAAATGACGATTTCCTCTTTTCATTTCTCTCCATATTACATATATAATACCGTTTAAAATTATACATTCCATAAGTCAGCAGATTGTGTTTCTACCCCCTTATATTTCAGAATCAATAATGTATATATTGTATACATATATAACATATATAATATTATGTAAGCGGTTACATTGGCAATTTAAAAGTCAGTGAAATGATCACTTTAAATGCCAAAAAATTGGTTCTACTATTTTCATAGGCATATCATGTAAAAAGTCCTACTAATTAGACATTTAAAGCACTATTCTTAACTATGTCTGGTGAAAAGCAATATGTTAAAGATTCTAAATTATAATTATCTTCATGAATTTAATATATATCCCTTTGCATTCTTGATTTAGATCATTTATTAAAATAAACTACTAAAATTTAAATATATTGGACATATCAAAATATTTTAATGGTTTTCATAATTCCACTTGATATTATTTAAAAAATTTAAATAAAATCGTGTTTTGAGCTATTATTTTTTAAAAACACCATAACAAATGTAATTAATCAAATATTTATACTTGAAGGAAATAAAAAATATTTTTTCTCTATCCACAAAGCTTGAGAATTTATACTTAATTTCAAGTTTTACAAACATGTCCACTAAACTACTTAATATAATTTATATTCATCTGTTTTTCTTAATCTACTAAGAAATACCTCATGAGCAAAGAAAATCCACAAGGATCTTAGATATAGATATATTCAGTATCATATGAGAAAAAAGAAAACAGGGTATTCTACAAAGATTTCTAATAATTATACTTTACTGTCATATATTTGGCATAGTATTCACTGACAATAATCATGTCAAAAAGGATTGCTAATGGAAGAAAATGAAGGAAATTTTTAACTGATATTTTAAGCTTTTTCTAGTTTGTTCCATTTAACAATATATCCTCACACTTCAATTTGGTTTAATTCCCTAAAAAATAGATTAGTTTATTTAAAAATGAAGCCCAACAGATACTTACTGCTCTTAAGATGTCCCATCTTTCTTTCAAGCTTTGTTTATTCCCTTAAACCTTCATGAATTTCCATGATTTATGATTAATTAAATGTTAATATTTTGCTTTAATTTAAATGAATAATATTAATATACAAATACGTATGTGTAGGTACCTCTCTATAAAAATATTCTAAATTTTATACTCCTTAGTTATTTTACTACTAAGTTATTGTTTTCATTATTTTATTTCCTTTTAATTTTCATCTGAGATACATATATCAGATTTAAGAAAGCAGTTTAACATGCATTCTTCCATGCTAACAAAGTTTGTTAACTTTATCGTCATTTAAAAAATTGTATTATCTGATACATGCTTTTGTTTGTTTTCTTAACTAGTGAAAAAGGCCATAGATTTTAAATCTAGAGGATTTAAATTGTTTCCAGGGAAAGACAACAGCAACAAGTTTTCTATCTGTGAGTTTTCTCCTTTTTGTTACTCTTTCTAGTGCAAGAGTGGTTTGTGCTGTCTGTGTTGTGTGTTTATTAAAATGTTTGTGGATTTACCAGATTAACTGTATTAATATCTATATAACATGCATGGTGATTATTTGACTTGTTGGTATTTAAATGTGTCCAGTTTAATGATAGACACCCAACCTCAAGTTGTTTTTGTTAAAATTTATTCCACTTTGGGAGAGATTCTAGATTTGTAATTCTTGGGTAGAGAAGAATAGTGGGTAAAATTCTTTCAATTTATGGCTTATTGCAAGACATCTTATTCAATATACCTATATTTCACCATATAAAATTTCTTCCAAGGAAAATGTCACCTTATAAAATTGAAAAGTTTTAAATTAATTAATCTTAATTAATTAAGTCAATCTCTTTAAGTCAGTATCCATTGGTAAATTAATGAATTAATAGTATTATTCTTCACTTCTGAACATCTCATGAACTAATGGCCTTAAATATGCCGATATATGTACTGCCCAAATACACAATTTGACTGTATACAAACTCAGGGGTTTACATGTACCCTAAAATTTATCCATGTTATGAAATCAAGAATTCTTGAACTGGTCCATTAATCTATAGTGCCATAAACACATTTAGTTATAGCTTTAGAAAGTGATGCATTTTTCGTGCTGTATGTAGACAGCAGTTCAAAGATATTTCCTGTCTCCTTCTCCTTAATGTACAGATTAAGAGGTTTGAAAGAAGGTATTTTGAGCACAATCTCTGATTTTTAAAATGATATTGAGATGATAGATAACTAGTAAAAATGACGTGTGTAGATAAGTGTATGCATGTTTAATTAATCAGAACCATATTTTTAGCATTGTTATTTTCCCTAATTCCAAATCATCTGAATAAAAAATTCATAGCTGTTTCTTTAATGATAATTATTCATTATAATGATATGAGAAAATAATTTTACCTACATATTCACCCACTTATATTTATATAAAAAGATAATACAAATGAGAGTTTACAGCAATGATAACAAAACAAACTTAGGCTGTATATGTTGGCAAATACATGGAAGTGTCAAAAAATTTAAATGTGTTTTTGTTAGTGGAACTTAAGGATGCTAAACCAACAGTAGCAGATAGAAAAATGAATTAATTGATCAAATTGTTTTAAAAGCAAGAAACAATTCCTTTTCAAGTATTTCACTGTATAATTAATATTTTTTTATATATTATTTGGGGATTATAATATCTTTTTCTAATATTTTGTCTGATCCTCATATGAATGCCTTTCGGAATTCTAAGCAGAATTACAAAGACAGATTCAGCACTTTCTTCTTTGGATCGCCCACATGTCATTTATGTGATTCATGCTTCTAATTTGAAGATGTTCTGGGAAAGCCAGACTGCTTATACTGAGAAGTAGAAGATTTATCAAAAAACATATGATTCATTTATACTTGTTTATATATTTTTTATAAAATTATAAAGTGAAGTTTCAATGATTTTATGTAAAAATGTCCTGAAAAGATCAGGGAATTTTCCAATTAATTTTTGAAGCCCCTCATATATGATTTAAATTTTCTTGGCACATAGATTATGATAGTGAAGTTAGACATAAAAGTCTTGGGGAGAGGACAACCCAAAGCCTGCTTTTTTAAAAAAAACATGTATTATTTAAAGAGCACTTGCTTTAAGAATGCTAAAGAAAAGTTAATATTATCTTGAATTTGAATCATGAGGCAACAGATGAATAATTTTCTCATAATTTAAAAAATTCATTTATTGCATTTTATTTTTTAAAATTCTCAAGGGCAATATTATCTGAATTTGGTATTTCATAACATATTTTATCAAATAGTCCTTGAGGCCTTCATTCCTTTGGATATTGGTTATTTAACACAAGACAACACAAGTGGAAGAGAGATCTACTTTAGCTGATATTCACCTTCCAAGTGAGAAAAAAAAAAAATCAAGCAAGCAAATTACATGTTCCTGAAGCATAAATTTTATCACTACCACTGCCAGGAGTCGGTGTGGAGGGTATGAAATAGACCCATTGTCCAAAACATGTTTCCTGTGTTGGCACCTTTAAAGTTATGCTAAGAAATTCATTAGCAAGGGATTCAGGAAACCGCACTAGTCAGTGGGAGATTTTGGTTGTTTAAACAGCTAATTCAGTTTTTTATTTTGTTGTCTAATTTAATGGTTGAAATTTAAATAACTCCAGTACATCATTGTTATTCTTTAATGAAAGGAGCAGTTTTCTCATTAAAGAAAAAAATAAGTATTGTTTTTATTTGAAAACAACTACGATGTCTGATTTTAAAGGGTGGACTTAACGAATTATTATCCTTACCAGCTTTGTTAGTGAGTTCTAGAAAATTAAAGTAGAATTAAAATAAAACTGCGAGCTCTCGGGTTTTTTTCTTCCCCATTGTTCAAACTCTTAGTTTCACTCATTCACGTCACCCGTTCATGCCACACTCTTTTTGACCTCCCCTCCACGGCAGCCCCTTGCGAACCTGAGGAGTAAAAGATTGGATTTATTCTTAGTTTTTTAAGGATTTAATGTTATACTGGCCAACTAAATGAGTTTAAAGCAATTATTTACAAAATATAAGCAGAATTAGGGTAAAAGAACATTAGCGTACATGATGTTTGAGGTCATAAAAAAAGATTCAAAACCAATCTATTTCATAACATCTGATAAACATAAGAAAGAAATAAAATGTGAAAGTCCCAATAAAATAGCAAGGCAACCAATTGTACAAGGTAATAAGATAACGTGTAGTCAGAATCCCATTGGTTTTTATTCCTAAGAGTAAATTTTCAGAAGAGTAAGCATTTTCCTATATACAAAACAGCATTCTTAAGAAAACAGATTTTAAAAAACAGGATTTTTTGAGATTAATTTTATGCTTCTCAAGTTAGATTATTCAGCTATCTAAAATATGTGAGTACGGGGAAGCATGTCTTCAAAACATATTTAAAATATATTTTAATAAATAATCCACTCAAGTAGAAAACAAACCCATTCTTTCTTCTCACTTGAAGGGGCAAAATGACTGCTATTTGACTGGTAATAACAGTATCCTCAAAGGTCATAGCGGGAGGACTCCCTTGCAGCAAGTGACTCCGTTTTTAGGAGAAAGCCCTCAGGTCAAGCAGTTACATTTGGAGAGAGCGCTCATATTCTTACCAATCCGCAAGTGACTGCTCAAATTCTACAAACCGAAGAAGGAAGTCCCTCCAATTGCCTGAAATTGTTTAGTCAAAATAGGTCTTTCATATAAATTGTTGGTATCACTTAGCTATGAATAATCTTGAGATTCGCAAATTTCTAAGAAGCAACATATTATAAATCTTGACACTCATTAATATTAGTTCAATTATCTTCATTAAAGAATAATAACTCTCTGGCTCTACCAGTACATTAAGTTATAAATGGGGAAGTTTGGGCCCTCTAGTGTGGAAAGAAAAACACTGGTTCAGAGGACATGTCCACACACACAGAAATAAGAGTGATTGAAATCCTTGGATTTGAGATAATGTAAGTGCAAATAATGAAAACTGTAACTGAATGGTCCGTGTCTTTCAAAATGAGTAAGTTGGGACAGTGTTTTGAACTTTAATTAATGACCATTTTTCTGCCTTAATGAGCATTCCGCAGAAACTGTCGGGCTCAGAAGGCTATTGAGGGTCTCTTGAATTAAGCTTCTTGGGTTTGAATACAGCCTCTAGCACTAACTAGCAATATGATCTTTTGCAGTTTCTGACTCTCTCCGTGACTCAGTTTTCTCACCTGTACATAGGAATACTGAGAGCAGTTCTCTTTAAAATTGCTTTGTGGCTTAGATTATCTGATACCTCTGAATCCAGAGTTAGTACTTTGTTAGCAATTATAATAATTCACGCAGAAAACTTAAACCAAATCTTTTTTGAGAAGATAATGATGGAGAAATGGGAAAAAAAGGAAATTTCATTTTCAAGGGCAATTACAAAGAACCAATATTAACCAATACTTTGTGTTTATATATAACAGAATAATGTAGTTAGGCCTTCTCCATGCCAGCAGAGTTCCTCTTCTCTACTCTGTGTTAAAAAGTTATAAATCAGTAAATTATTATACAATAATTTCAATAGTCTTTATAAGATAGGAAATAGTATTTACTTTGGAATAGGTTCAATATTTTGATGGCAATATCTAAGACATTATTGTCAAACTAGTAAGATGTCTTTATTAAGAATTTATTAACTTCTATCTCAACTTTGTATATATAGTAAAATAACTAAAATTTCCATTTATACAAATGCATAATTTATTTGCAGACATGAATAAGTAATATGAAATTGTGAATTTTAATGTAGTAACAAATAATTTCTAAAGTCCATATAACATTTCAAAATAACATGCATCACGTTCTATAATAAAAGAGATATTAGAGTATTCTGGAAATAGTAGAGCCTATCGTTTTGTATAAATAGACTTTACCTGAGTCTTGAGAATCAGAATGCTGATAACTAAAAGCATGTAAACATGAAGAAATGACAAGCAAATCCTTGGAGAGAGACTGGCCAACCAATACACAGAAAAGTGAAGTGTCACTAAAATAGAAGTGTGGGTGAATCTTGGTGCCAAGTGGAAAAAGCAATTGCTATACAACCAAATCTAGAATCATAGGAGGTTTTAATAGTAATAAAAATGTGCATTAGAAAATTTCATTTTCTTTTGTTATGCAAGATGGATTGGAGGTGGACAATAATGGAGTCACAAAGGTACCACAAGGATTAGGTTGGTCTGGAACACTCAGATCAGGTGAGAATGGGAATTTTGTCTGGATCGTCCAACAGACTATTGTAAAGAAGTTAGGAAGACATGGAATAATCATATATTGGAAATCATGAGCAAAAGAATAGCTTCAAATCATGAGCGAAATAAGAAATGTAGAGAACTATGGCTCAGTGCCTTTAGATCTGTGATGTTTGTGATTTGTCAAAACAAGAGTCACCCTAGAGCCAAAAGTTAAAAAATAAATAAATATTAAAAATAATTCACATAAGAGAGACTATCACATGAATTAAAGAATAATAAGTAAAGTAGGTAACAAGGACATTTTAAATGTTATTTATAAAATTAATTTTATAAAATTATGGACAGGTGTAAAAAATATCTACTGACAAACTACCAGTTTTAGTTAGACCATAGCTGTTGGCTTCTGATAGCTAACTCTGTATTTCAATGAGTCCATTTGAGCTAAGTGAACAATCTAAACTTACGCTAAAATAGAGTGGCTTTCCACATTGACTTTATATTAAAATTAACTTGAAGGTAAGCACACACACATACAGGCATACATACAGGTGTGTGTTGTGCATGCGTACACACACACACACACACACACACACATCCTGATGCCCTGAACCTCATTTAGACTAATTGCTTAAAAATATATTGGAGTTGAAGTAGGCATCTTTATTCACTAAAGCATCTGAGATATTTCTGATTAATAGAGTAAGATAAAAACCTTTGCAAGACTTTTTGTTGCCTCCCTCTGAATCCTCTTATCAGATACTAGTATATTCATCAGAAGTGCAAAAAGCAAAAAAAGTTATTCTTCACAATAAGACTGGATTTATAAAATAAGGACACTCCAGAACTATCAGATTAATCTTCCTATTAAAAATATATCTTGTGAATTCATTTATCCAGTATGATTATGTTCACTGATAAAACTAATAAATTTTTCATTAACTGGGTACTCTGAAGGAACTGCTGAAAATATATACAAAAGTAAAAGAAAACTTAGTCTTGAAAATTGCTAGGAAGTAAATATATTATTTTGGTTTTACAGGTTTATATAGCAATTCAATGACACCCACCAAAGATAATTTGTACTTTTATTTTACTTGACCGTCAGTAATCCAAAGTGTTATACAAAAATACAGAAGGGCAACATCCTTAAACTTTTTCTCCAGGGCCTGAGTTTTTTTTGTTTCAGTTTTTTAAAGGCCTGACTCATATGATATTGTCATATAGCTAGTGATTTTCTTACAGCTCTAGATTAATGGAAACTGGCATGCTTACTGATAAACCTAGAATATCCTGTCTGCAGATTTTATAATTTGATAATAAAAATGAAGTTTAAATCACTAATATACTATATTCTGAATAGTAAAAATAATTGTATATTACATTATTTTTGTTGATTTTCATATCTACAATTAGAAAAATAAAAGTGTTTGCTTTAGTTACTGAGTCATACAATTATAGTATAAGTTTCTGGGCTTAAAATTTAGTGAGCATAAGAAAACATAAGTAGTAATTCTATATAAAATTTAAATCAATATTGGATATTAATATTTGATTGTCTAATCCTATATATTTTTTCTTTCCTATTATTACAGTAAATGAGGGAGGTATTAAAACAGCCTCCAATTTATGCCCCGATCCAGGAGAGCCAGAAAATGGGAAAAGAATTGGATCAGATTTTAGGTAATGTTTTCAATTGTTGACTCCATTGCTGATTTTGTCACCTTTCATTCTTATATTTAAAAATAATTAATAATATTAGACGAAGTACTGGTGAATTAAAGCAGAAGTGTGGTAGCTAGATTTTCTGCTACTATATTTCTATTAGAAATATCTAATTATTTTAAAGTTACTGGTTGAATAATAGAGGAGTCCTGATGGTATAGGCATTGCACATTGGGCTGCTCAACACAAGGTCAGCAGTTCGAAGCCACCAGCTGCTCGTTGGGAAAAAGCCAGGGCTTTCTACTTCTGTGCTTGGTCACAGTATGGGAAACTCACAGGGCAGTTCTACCCCATCTGTCGGGTCGTGATGAGGCAGAATCGCCTCGATGGCAGTGAGGCTTGAGGTGAATAATAAATCGAACTATCAGGACTTCCTTTAGTTTTTATAATCAAAATTTTTGGTATGTAAGTGCAAATCATGACATTGGGATTTTAAAGGCCATAATTAAATTCAAATTCTGTTGTTTACTAGTTCTCCGATCTTAGGTAAATTGTTCAATTCTGGTTTACCCAAGTTTCTTCTTCTTTTTTTTTTAACCAAGTTTCTTCTCTTGTAAAATGTGAATCTAATTTATAGCATATGGGAGAGTTCCAAAAGACATAGTGTCTGTGTAAATGTCCAACAATGTTATACAGGTATGTTATTTTATTTTTAAGAAGTGCCCATAAATTGAACATAAGTTTTAGCTCTGTCTTAAAAATATAATTTATTTTATCAAAGCATAAAACCACTTTATTCTGGTTTGCTGAGAATTTGTATTTCTACTCCAGATATCACTGGATGAGAGTTTGCATTCTAATAATATTCAAAATATATATTCTGTTTCAATATATCTGGAGTGAAATGCAAATTTTCAGTAAAAAAAATGGAAAATGAATGGATCAGTATTTTATTGTTTCGAAATTAAGTTTTCCAGCAACCTAGAGGATGTAAGTAGTATACTCAGTCAGCAATTAATAATAATTTATTAATGAATCATTTTTTAAAACCTTGGATTTTTATTATTTTTTTAATTGTAGCTTTTTACATATAAAGGGCACAGGAAATCTCATCAAAATGCTAAGTAAAACGTTCACTAAAATTCACAGAATATTTATTCTAATAAAGTAGACATGGCATATTGAATTATAATTTATAACTATGATGAGTTATATTTACAGAGACAGATTTTAATGTCAATCTTCATGACATTACTTATATTCCACATGTGTATTTACTTCTTTATATATGTTTGGATGAAAACAGATACTGTAAACACTACTAACCATGAAGGAAAATTATAATTTTAAACATATGAATCTGTAGAAATTTTGTCTCCATTAATCCTTATAATGATAAAACGTTATTTTATCATATTTACATTGAAAGGAATAACATTAAAACAAACAAATTGTAATATTTTTCTAATGGGGAATTTTACTTTATCCCCAAATTTAATACAAATAATATTGTTTGAACAGACACCTGAATGATAGTCAATAAACTAGAGATCTAATCATTGCCCAACTCCAATCAAATAAGTGACTTTATGAAACTCAATGACATCTTTCTAATTTATATATATATATTTCATAGAATACCAAGTAGTAACCAGTATGCTGCTACTAAAAATAGAAACCATCCCTCTACTTCACCTGTCCTATCTATACTTTATTTTTAGCATAATACCTATATAATCTAGCCCCTAAGGTAGTTATCATTGTATCCTTTTCATACAAATTAAAAAAAATTGAACTTCCAATTACCCAGCTAATAATTTAGCAGAGCGACAATTTAAACTCGTGATTGTCTAGCTCCCAAATTTGACTTGGTAATCATTTTTGTAGATTAGGCTTTAAGGGAAGTAGAAGTCTCTCAAATCCCCCCTCTGCCATTAATTATCTAGTCTTCTCCAAGATTTGATATTTTTTCAGATCTTTGAACACATAAAACAATGCATACATCACAGAAATATGGACAAGATTTTATGAAATAATATATGTATGATAGTTATGGTAGAGCTTGGGTGTGGTCTCAATAAATGCTTGTTGTTAGATGCAGTGAATTCAGCTCCACCTGGTAGCTAGCCTTGCATAACAGAGCAAAGCACTAACCGTTCTGCAATGACCTCACAATTGTTCCGGGTGAGCCCACTGTGGGTTCCCCTTTGTCAGCCACTCTGGTTGAGATTGTTCCCCTATTCTCTGATCCTGCTTTACCTAGCAAAACATCTTTTACTAGGGACCAATTACTCCTGAAAATATATCTAAAGGGAGAGGGGATATTCCCATTCTCCTAAGAAGCATACTGGCTTTGCATTTTCTGAGAGGTTGGTTTGACAATCTGACTCCCTGGCTATATTCAATATTGTTGACCAAATCATATTTCAAAGGCATCAGTTTTTCTATGGACTTTCTAATTCATTGTCCAGATTTCACAAACAAATGACGAGATTAGAAATGCCATGGCTTTTCCTCAATGTGAAGTTTTTGCTCTTTAACACTTTAAAGAAGTGTTTTGCAGATTTCCCAAGGCAATATGCTATGTGATTTCTTGAAAATTGCTATCATGAAAATTGATTAAATGAAATTGATAAAAATGAAATCCTTGGATGGTCGATCTATTTTCTCTTTATTATGAAGTTGCTTTGGATCCTATTTTGAGAACTTTTGTTAACTGAAGACTTGGATCTTCATCATTGTGTGGAATCCTCTAACTTTAATCACAATTGTGTCATCTGCATATTGCAGATTGTTAACGATTCTTTGTCTAACTTTCACGTCATGCTCTTTTTACATACTCCAGATTTTCAGGGTTATTTTTCAGCATACAGGTTGAATAATTATGGATAAAAGATACAGCTCTGAAATACGCCTTTCCTGATTTTAGACTATGTAATTCTTAAAATGATCAGCTCCAGTGACTTCCAAGTGGTCAATTTATCTAAGGTTTTCTACAAAAAAATAAATAAGTAAATGTTCTTGAATTTCCATTCCTTTCATGTCATGCAGAATTTGTTGTGCTATGTAGAGACTGATGTCTTTGTAAAATGTAATACAGGTGAACGTCTTTCTGGATGTCACTGCTTTCATCCAGAGCCATCTCATGTTCCCAATATGTCTCCAATTCCAGGTCCTCTTCTGAACCTGCTTACATTTCTAGTGGCTCCTTGTCAATTTTGAATTATTTGTAGCAAACTTTGACTTGCAAATGATGTTAATGGTATTGTTTGATAATTTCCACGTTGGATCACTTTTCTTTTGAATAAATATGGATCTCTTCCATCCCTTTGGTCAGTTAGCTGTCCTCTGAAGTTCTTGGCATAGACAAAGAGATGTTTCCTGTTGAGTTCATTGTTGAAATATGAGTATTTTGTCAGTGACTCGGTTCTTGTTTTTTGCCAACGCCTTCTGCACAGGTTGGGCTTCTACATTAAATGCCATACACTCTTGATCACTTGCTAATTCTGGGAAGGTTGGACAGTCAACAATTATTTGTTTTAGTTTAGGGTCTCTCTTTATTTCTTTAGTCTTATTTTGATCCTTCCAGCATGCTGCATTATTTTGCCCAGAGACTCCTTCAATATTGCAGTTCAAGGCTTCAATTTGTTTCTTCAGCTGTTTCAACTTGAGAAATCCAAGTGAGTCTTTTCCTCTTCAGTTCCGTTCACATTATTTTGATTATACTTTCCTTTTTTTCTGAAGCCCCTTTAAAAATACCTGGTTCAGTTCTTCTACTTCACCTTTCTCCCCTTTGCTTTAGCGTCCGTTCATTCTACAGCAAGTTTGAGAGTCTCTTTTGACATTCACTATGATCTTTTTTGCTTTCATTTATTTTTTATAGTTTTTTTAATCATTTTATTTCATATCACAATCCATCCATCCATCCATTGGGCCAAGCACATCAGTACATTCGTTGCCATCATCATTTTCAAAACATTTTCTTTCTACTTGAGTCCTTGGTATTAGCTTCTCTTTTTCCCCCTCCCTCCCCCACCCTACCTTCCTTATGAATCCTTGATAATTTATAAATTATTATTAGTTTTTCATGTCTTCCACTGACTGATGTCTCCCTTCACCCACTTTCTGTTGTCCATCCTCCTGGGAGGGGGTTATATGTAGATCATTGTGATTGGTTACCCCTTTCTAACCCCACCTTCCCCTTACCCTCCTGGTATGGCTACTCTCAATATTGATCCTGATGGGTTTATCTGTCCTGGATTCCCTGTTTCCAGCTCTTATCTGTACCCGTGTAAATGCTCTGGTCTAGCCAGATTTGTAGGGTAGAATTGGAGTCATGATATTGTTTTTTGTTTCTGTGTTTGCTTCTTCATCTTTGACATTCTGATAGCATCCCACAACTCATCGAGTCTTTAACCACTAATGTTCAATTCATCATCTCTATTCATGAACGTGTCTCTAATTTCATGTGAGATGTACTCAAATTCTACATGGGCTCTTTGTATTGGTTCTCATTCAGCTTCCATGTGAATCTGAACCTGTGCATTTGATGGTCTGGTTCACAGTTGGTCTCAGGTCTTGCTCTAAGTGGTTCTCAACCTTCCTAATGCCGTGACCCTTTAGTACAGTTCCTCATGTTGTGGTGACCCCCCAACCATAAAATTATTTTCATTGCTGCTTCATAATTTTGCTACTGTTATGAATCGGGCAACCCCTGTGAAAGAGTCATTCTACCCCCAAAGGGGTTGAGACCCACAGGTTGAGGACCGCTGCTCTAATTGTTGATAAAGAGCTTCTCAATCATCTAATTTCACAGATATAAGCATCTAATTCCTGTGAATTCCATCTATTGAGGGATATCTGTATAGTCTTAGTTTATGTTGATGAAAATGGTATTTTCAATGAGCAGTTCATTGATCTTCCAAGACTTTATCATGTGATTTCTGGTATTGTTTCTATCACAAAGGTCATTTACTCTACTTTCTGCCTCCTGAATTCAATAATTCATTGCAATGGCT